GTGTTATTTTGGAGCCCAATCTGATTTTCTGAACTCTTAAGAAGTCAAGCATTCTGAAGAGAAAAGGTTTTAAAATTGCAGGACTTAAAAACCCACTTCTTAAAAGCTGACAACTTAAATTTGATTCCAAATAAATTTTGATGAATATTTCAGTGCCAAGTTCTCAATTTCAAGAGTAGCATTAAAAACTACTTCAATTACTCAATTTAAGACACAAGGAGCTCAAAAGTTTGCACATTTTCAAGCATAACTGTTGGCGTCAATACATTGTTTTCCCCTGTGTGACATTTCCTTCAGAATCAATACATTTCCTAATCTAATCTATCAAATCTAATCTAATCTGAGGAGTAGAGATGATCTCAAGTCCAGCTGTTTGCGCCTAGGTTAAAAAAAAAGCAGTATAGTTTTAAGTCCTCTCTTTTTTTGGATGAAACCTGTGAGGGATTTGAAGTGACACGAGTGAACATGTTGATCACAGCTCAATAAGCAGCACTGAGGTCATCAGGACCCCCCTTCAAATGAGACAGGCTGACGGTTACCCCGGCAACAGGCTACAAGCCGAACAAGCCGGAGATCCCCAGACAACATGAGCGCGTGTGTGAGTGTGTTTGTGTGTTTACATGTGTGGCTGTGGGATTTTGTGTTTCATATTTTGGCTCAGCCTACTCGATGTGAGCATCTGCTGGATCTCTGAGGGTGGGGGGCGTGGGTGGAGGAAGGGGGCCCACAAGTCTGTGACGGTGCTCCAGTTTACCTTTTTAGACCTCAGACTACTGAGTCATAGGTAGTTTTTTCTGTCTCCTTATATAAAGCAAAAGTGACAGCAAATATTGTCACAGAAGGAAGAGATTTAAGTTTCGGTCTGGATGTAGAAGGCATTATGTAATCTACTCACGACATTTAAACAGACGCCTGGGTCTGACTTAAACTGGATTTTATCCTTTCAACAAAGTAGTCTTTATTACCAATAATAGAAGTATGTCCAAATCATGTCACTCTGTCATAAAGGCAAAATACTGGCTAATATATTCATATGTGAATTCACAGGAGAGATAATACCGAAGCTTTATTTGTACTAGACTTATTCCGCTCTGACACATGTCGGGGATTTAAATTAATTGTGCAGATTAGCAGTGGCTTTAGTTTTAATTCATATCGGACATGTCTGTAATTCATGAGGTACAAGAGAATCCAGTATTTTATTTTAAGTACACTGCAAAAGAGACTGGATAAAAATGTCTCTTTGTTCAATAAACGTTTACTTCTTATAGCTTCATCTACTTTGTTAGTGGGATCTGATTTTCTTCAATATTCTGTAAAACTGATGGAAGAATATAACAAAGTACTTTTGAAAGGATTGACAAAGTCTAGTTTACAGTACACATTTTTGATAAACACTTGAATCTCATTCACGAGTAACTGGATCAGTTTTTATGGAGATTAGGTTGAATTCATTTTGATTCAGACATATCAGTGATTTATAATTTATAAAAAGGCATATGTTGTTGTACTTCCACACTGAACTTTATTTTCTGTGTCTGAGTGTAACCGGGCAAGTAATCAGGTATAAACTCAGACGTTTGGATTACATTTTGTCATCAGTCATATTGTACGATCAGGTATGATCAGGCTCAGGTGTGTTATCAAACTGTTCAGTCGGAGAAGAGCGTGCGGAGGAGATGACACACCTGCTCATACAGTATATGTGTTAATCTGACAATGATTTATGTATCTCTGTAAACAGATATCATCATTCAAGAGCAGATAACTATCTGTTCCATGTCTAGAATTTCGTCATGAGCAGCTGATCTGCTTCAAGTTTAGTCACAAAAGTCAATCAGGATTAAAGATTTCCAGACTTGCAGGCATGCATTAGAGATGGCAGATTTGACCTCCATTTAACAAGAACAGGTTTTTAAATGTGTTTTATCCATTCTTGATGACAGAAAGATGAAGTTAGCATTTTTGCTTTTTACAAATGTGCAAGATGGTGTTGATACTTACAGTGAAACTTATATTGCGTTCCAGTTGTACTCAGAAGTCGGAAATTCTGAGCTCCAAGTCGGAAATTCAGACGATCGTTACCAACCCCGACTTGACGATAACATATTTCAAGATGGCAGCGCAGTGCATGTAACAGTGAAAGCTCTCGTAATGTATTATTTATTAAAACTTTTGTTTTGTTTTTGTGAAATTAAATAAGTGGTATATGTTGTACTGCCCAACGTCTAATTGTGAACCTGGCGCAATGGTGTTTGTATCAGTATCAGTAGGGGTACATTTTGAGTAGAAAAGTTAAAAACTGTAGTCTTGAGAAATGACGCCCTAAAAACTGCAGTTTCTGCTTGAGGCTGTCTGCAGAAGCACTGGAACACACAAATGTACTCAGGGGCGCAAAAAACAAAACAAACAAACAAACAAACAAAAACATTTTAAGAACAAAAATAAACATGTTTACAGCCTGCTTTGAGGAAAAAAGTGGTTTTGGTCCCATTTGTCCAGGGCTTCCACCACCCTCAGTGCAGGGAATTAGTTTTTATGGTCATTCAGTTATAGGATTGGCAAATCAGAGGAACATCTGACGTGAGTGACAGGCAGGCGCACTGTAGCTCTAGAGGGGAAAATCATGCTGGTGTTTCCAAGAGAGAAACAGGTGGAATCTACTACTTTGACAAAAGTTCCTAAACAGTTATTAACTTGTGCAAAATGTATATCAATCCAACTAATATACTATACAATTTATAATAAAGGTAAAATAAGAATATATTAAACACAAGTGGGGGAGAAATGGTGATATTGATGCTCCAGTTTAACACAAACAAAATTCCTTCAACATTCAGAGGCAAGAATGATTGTGCTAAAAAAACACAAAAGCAAAGGCTTCAAAGAACAAGGACGCAGGCTTACAAAGGCACAGGATGAGACAAATTCACACTCCTAAAACTTCTAACCGTCTGTGGAAAAAAAGAGCATCTGGTGCACCCCAAGACATTGCTGGTCTATCTGTTTGATGGACCAATCACATACAGGTACTACTGCACATAATATCAAAGAAGCAAGGACTGGAGTCTTATGTTTAAAGGGATATTCCGGCATAAAATTAATTTAGGGTCACAGGATAGCAATGAACAAACCTCAACCAAAAAGCCACTGTATAGCCACAAATATTGCTCAGAACAGCACCTAACTTCATCAACAGTACATATAGGGACCTAGCCATAGCACTAGCCATCAAACAAATTTTTAACTTTGCCTAATTTCTTTAGTAAAGCGACCAAACACAACTCACCTACTTTCCTCCAGCAGCCGCTTATTTGTAGTGACACCTCGGGCCAGTCCATTGCAAACTGCTGTGGGGTGACGCAGCTCAAGGAAGAACATTTATGATCATTTCTTCATCGCAATGCAATCAGTCCGAGATGCTAAGGCAGAAGAACTACTGCATCCACAGTGCAAAATGATTATTTATGATGATTATTACTTCGAGGAAATGATAAAGTAATGATCATAAATGTTCTTCCTTAAGCTGCGTCACCCCACAGCAGTCCGTAATGGACTGGCCTGAGCAGAGTGGTCGATTAAACAGAGTGGCGACACTCCCATAGACATACGCTGAACAGCCCGGCGGACCCCACTTCCGGGTTATGGAACGCTTATTAGTTCCAACATGACCGCCTGTCACATCGGACGCCGTTCACTTCTGTGGCCACAAGACAGACACTCACCGAGGTAAAATGATAAAATATCAACAAGTTTAATGCCAATAAGTGTGTTATTGATATCGAGGGGACCCCTTTGTATGTAAAAATGTATATCCCAAATGTAATTACGTTTTTTAGTCAGGAATTGGGATCGATTTTTTTAGCCACGGCTCGCTCCCACACTCCATGAGGTAAAATATTGTATCAACGAATTTAATGCCACTACGCGTGTTAATGGTATCGAGGGACCCTTTTATATGTAAAATGTTTTTAATTTTAATATGCTCAAATTGTAATTACAAATGTAAGTACGTTGTTTTAGTTAGGAATTGGGATCGATTTTTTAGCCACGGCATGCTAGCTGGACGTCGTCAGCTGTAGAGGCCTGCCAAAATTTATTGTGTGACTGAGTTATGAATCACAGATAAATCATCATCATCAATCATATGTTGAGATGGTTACTTCTGGGATTTATTTTAGATTTCAGCCTTTATCAGAACCCAATGTTATGTGGAATTTATTCTTTTTAGACTCACATAAGTGCTATGTAATTTGATTTCTGCTTATGTATACCATGGGATGATAGAGTAAAAGGACTGCTACTTTTTAAATTCTGTCAGCATTTAAGGCGTATGTTTAACATGGAAAAATGTTATGCAGGCCATGCTGCAAGACCAAAACATTGCACAATTGTTTCAACAGCTTGTAAGACCTGTTACTTACCACTTTATTGTATTATTTTTCTCTTGTGAAAAAGTAACAACTGTAACATCCTTTAATTAAATCTAATCTATTTGAACTTTGAACAGGCAAAAGAGGAGGTCAATGAAAACTGCTCCGTTGGATTCGGCTGCTTGCGGTTGCTGCTGCCGCTTGCACCTGGCTGTGGCACAGGACTACTGGGGTCTGCTGATGGTGGATGAGATCAGGATAAATCCACCTTCTCCTTGACCTGCAAATTGAAATGTAAATTATTATCCTACTCCCTTAACACAAACTGACATGAGGTTGACATTTTTAGGTTGTTCTCTAGGTTCACCTCCTCCTGCTGCTGCCCCTGAGAGCCGCAGCTGGTGTTGGCCAGGGGTGGACACCGTTGGCTGGTGGCTGCTGCCAGCGGCTGGTCGCAGCTGCTGCAGCGAGGGACTACTGGAGTCTGCTGGTGATGGAGAAGGGATGGAAAGCCCGAATACGTCCATGGCAACCAGTAAGGGGCTTGGCAGTGGCCTAGATGACGTTGCCATTGTTGCAGTAGATGTAGCTGGTTTCTTTTTTCCCCTTTTGCTTTGGCTCTTGCTGCTAAAGCACCCTCCCTGTGTGTCTCTTTTTTGCAGCGGAGATGAACTTAGAGGCAATTCTCAACCTCAGCCGGATGTATCTGGTGAGAATTTTTTTCTGCAGCTCATGGCATGAGGGAAGGTTGCTGTCAAGTTTCATTGCCGCTTGTTCCAGCATTGCCACTGCATTGGTTGATTCCATGAGTGAGTCAACTGAGGTCGCCTGGAACAGCTGCTCCACACTCTGAATGAGAGTGAAAACCTCATCAGATGGCCGGTATAGTGCCCCCCTTTTAAACTCCTTCAATCTGAGAAGAACATCTCTCCCACTTGCATTTTCACTTTCTGTTAGGGAGCTCTGGCATTCCTCACAAAGTGAGCAGCTGATGACCCTCTTCACAATGTATCCTGCCAGGTGGTAGAGGACACAGGACTCTGTTTTTGTGAAGTCAGGTGGTGATGCTGCATCATCCAGCTGCTCCAGACGCACCACTGGAGGAGGACTGCAGCTGCTTCTTTTTGAATCCAGGAAGTCTGCCAAATGGTCAGATCCGTCATCAAAGTAATTGCCGGTAGGTATTGTGGTGAGGAACTGTCCAACAGTGACAGCTCGCAGTGCGTAGTGGAACTCTGCTGGTGTTGGGACAGGGTTCCTCTGACGAATGCAAGAAAAGGTGTTCTCCAGGCAGTCCTGTGTAAATCGACTTGTGAGAACAAATTTGTGCCCTTTGCTTAACAGGTCTTGCTGGACTTCCAGGATCACTCTAGTGGCCATCACAAGTCCTGTCTGGACTGGTTTCCAGCTGCCCAGGTGACCGATCTTCAGGCCCCGAAACGATGGATGCTGTCCTGGAGAAAGTGGATGGCTTTCTCATACTCCTCCATTTTGAACAGGCTGAGAGCAGTAACAACATTCCGGGAAGACATGAGGTCAAACCAGTGGTCCATCTTCTCCAAAAACCATAATGTCACAAGGTAGGATTGTGGTCGCTGCTCCTCCTCCACAAGGTACCTCAGGGCAGCACTCGTTGCCTTGCTGAAAATATGCATCGCAGAACTAACCTTCATTTTTTCAAAATGGTTAGGCTCAAGGATGGCACGGGACAGTTTTGGTGCCAGTTTAAGTTCCATGCTCTCCTGGAAGGAAACAAGATCCTTTAGGGGATCAACAGATACGACACTGGACGCCAGCTGCTCTTTGTGCACCACATCTTGTGGAATGGTGATGGTTTGACCCCGGATGAGGGCACTTCTCAAATTCTTGACAAGATGTGGAACATCAGCCATGAAATAGAGCCGCCTGTGTTGCTCAACAGGATGGGGTATCCATGGCTTATCCTGGGTCACCCCAAATGACTTCCACATTGCCCGATTGGGACTCCCCATGTCACTGGTGATATTTATAACATGAAGCCCCACAGATGCTGCAGCTTCTACGATGGCAATGATGATGGGCTGATAAACTGAGCCATCTGTAGAATTACCGCTGTAGTGGTAAGCAACAATTTGCTTCCAGCGTGTTGTTACACCAGCGAGCATAAACACACAGGCATGCGTTGCTTGCCCTGTGTGACCAGGAAGTGTTACGTTGCCAAATAGTCTCCCCGTTCCCATATGCAGCTCCACACCTGGAGTGATGGCCATCTCGTCCAGTGTGAGTACACATTCCCTTTCCATGTTGTTCATTCCCTCTGCCTTCAGCTTTAACATTTTGAACACCTCCATCAACACTCCAGGCTCCATCTTAACATGCTGCATCCTCCGTTGTGTAGTCCTAATGTCAGGTAGTGGGATTTTCATTTTTTGTAATGTTTTGTAGCCTGTTGTGCCAGCAGTAAATCGAATCTGTATGGCTTTTTTCAGGGTCTGATTGCTCCAGCGTATCCCTCTCGTCTTCTCTCTTCCTAATGACTGAATTTGGTCTGTGTTAAAAATTGATTTGAACTTTTTTTGAATTAAACTGTTCTTCTTTCTTAAACCCAAATTTATTTTCTTTTGTTGTTTAAGAGCCCTCTCTGCTCTCTTTCTTTGGAGTGTCTCAATCCTCAATTGCTCTCTTAGGTCATCAACAGTTGCCCTGTCATCACTGGTCCCTGGATCGCTCGCCCCTGTCACAGTGGCTTCTTCACTCACTGCCCCTGACTGACTGTCCCTTGGAGCTTCGAGGACCTCACCAACGTCTACCTGTGGGCTGCCTACTCCTATTTGCTCTGCCTCAATTTCTGCCTCATTTTCTGTAATAATGACATGGTATTGTTTCAGTTAATATGCATTTGCTTCCTTTGCATCACCACCTTCTTTCATGTCCTGTTTCAAGGGATAGTTCGCCCTGATTTGACTAGTGTTGTTTGTTTTCAAAAGTCAGTGTGGTTTATCAGCTGCTACTCAACCCCCCCAGGAGTCCCATAAGTGTGGTCCTGAACAGGTTTTGATGCTACAGAAAGTAGTTCCATGTAGTTGAAACTGAGAACTAAAGAACTGCGCTCACAGGACTCTGTGGGCAGTGAGTCGCAGCTGTTGAACCACACTGACTGTGGGAAACAAACACAACCCTTGTCAAACAGGGCCAACTATTCCTTAAATCCATATTTTTCATTACAAATAGATCAAGATGCCTGTAGAGACAACTGTGTATCATACCAAAATCATTTCTTGTACAGTAGTTGTGGTCATTGCTTGGCAGGTGAACCTCTGTTGAGGACGTGTGCCGTTCGGGAGCTCTCCTTGTCTTTGGCCTTTGACGATGGCAAAATAAGGTGGGTATGGCATCAGGTTTTAACCTGAGGTGTCCTTTTTTTTGTACAAATAAACTGACTGTCCTCAAAATGCACCTGCAGAGAGACTCTTAAAATCAGTGTGAAATGTATACGCAAGATAGAATTGAAATGTTGTTCTGTCTGCTCTAATAAAATGACCTTATAAATTTAAACTGTTGTACGTCACATTTATAAACATTTACCTGACATATCTTTCTACTGTTGCAGTTGCCAGCCTTGACATCAAAATTTTGTCTGCTGACCATCGCCAGCCATCTCTTCTGCCTCTCCTTTTCTTTAGGGAAACCATACATTCGATGGCCCCTCTCTGAGCGGTTGGTGCACCCAAATGCTGCACAGCCAACCATCACTGGTCTCTACACTGTACAATGGTAAACGTAAAGATAATTAGCTGTCAAGCCTCAAATGTTGTGTAAAAGTGGACAATATGTCCCTTAACAGTCATCCCTGAGACTTGCATTATAAATCAGAGCTGAAAAGATGACTACTTTCATAACAATGCTGGACAGTCTGAAGAGCTTCTCTGTTATTCACTGCTGCTGTAGTGTGGAAATGTGGGAAAATGTGGCCCAGTGCTTCAACTGATTTTCAAGTGACCAAATGTGTGTTTGAAAGTGGTAATAGCTGCCTGTATTTGACATTTATTTTATTAAATGTGTTTATATGTAATGTTTTGTATGTATCTGTGATTGTCCAGTAGAATTGGTGGTAACAGTCCACTCTCACCTGTATTGACATTAAATCATACATTATAAATGCATACACGTTATTGATGACAAATACGTCTGGGGCCTGTTGCATAAAAGTAGGATAAGGGATTAAGCCGGGATATGTTGTTTATCCTGGATCAATTTATCCGTGATCCAGTTGCATAAAAGTAGGATAGGGGAAAGTGGGATATGTTATGACATAAGTTACCATGGAGACTTATTCTGTGGAGCTAGCCTGCTAGTTCCAGGATCTATTCAATCTTATCCCTTATCTCAGTCAGCAGTCACCACAAATGGACACTAATATTCATGCCACTGCCCACTACACATTGTTATCACATTTAACTACACCCGCTGTCATTATTTAAACATTTGGGATCATTAATTGCAATCATTTTAGATAAATGATTTTGCTATTATTAAATCTATGTATACAAATAAAATACACAAAGAGTAACATAATGTTCCTTTATTGAATAAGGATGAATCAAAGCAAGTAAACCATCAGCACTTTTCATCATTGCATTTCAGGTACATTATGTGCATTTCTTCTAGTCTTAATAATACAGTTGATCATTAGTGTTTGACTTCCAACCAATCATAGCACTTAGGTAGGATGGCAGATGGCAATTCCACAGTCTGATTTAATGGCAAGTCTCATATCTATGGTAGCCCTAACTGCATACATTAAAAAAGCAGACACCAAAATCTCATGTCAACTTTTTTCTTGTTCATCTTCTTGTAGCTGGGGAGGAAAGGAGAATAATGATAAATGCATTGTATTATGATTAAATCATAATTATGATTAACAATTCTACTCATTTGATTCCACAAATTTATTTACTCAAATGAAGTCACTAAATTTGACAGCTTTAATGAAGAATGAAACAGAATGAGCATGAGGAGCAAACATGGATTTACACAATTTCTCTCTGCAGTCACTTTCACTTGCAATTTCAACTGTTTCATAATCAGAGTAGATTACAACTATGTTTTTGGAGATGTTAATTAACTATTTGGATTGCAATTGTGATGTTTCAGAGGAATAGTGAGTGTGTATTTGTGCAATACTTACGCACTCAGGCGGTCTGCAATTCTCGCTGTTTTATGGCAGTGGCGGTGGCTGTTACCTCTTCATACACTTCCATAAATATATCCTGCTCCGACAGGGAGAAGTATGCGTCTCTGGTTGTCATGGTGAATAGGTGAATCTGATCGATCGCGGATGAATTGATGAATCCGTTTCTTCTCATCCTGGATTAGCGTTTATGCGACCGAATAAGCCTGGACGCTCTTGTTTTGGATTCGTTGAGCACAGCTCAGTCACTTATCCTGGATATCTTAATCCTACTTTTATGCAACAGGCCCCTGGTTTTACAATATTAGTTTATTTTGAGCCGTCTCATATATTTTTTGATTGATTTTCTTCTTGTTTTCACACACACACACACACACACACACACACACACACACACACACACACACACACACACACACACACACACACACACACACACGAGGTTGTGACATTCATTTTAATTGCCCACATAAAATCTCTGAATGAAAACCATCATTTATCATCATTGTCCAATGTCAGAGAGTGTTCAAGAATAGCCTTATGTTGCTAAATAAGAGATCGCTTTGCATTAGGTTACGATTTAGTTCCTTATTCTCCAGTTAGTGAAGCTAGCAAAGTTTCCCTCCAAAAACACACCCAGACAAACTTGTCTTATTTCACTTTATTTATTTATTTATCTTATTTCACTTTTGTCATCCAGCCACTAAATATATGTACGTGACTTTGACGTGTACACAGTAATCCAATAAGAGTTGAAAATGTTGAATTTTTACGGTTAATTTTAATATTTACCTCTCAAATGCGCGCTCACTGCAGTCTGTCCCGTTGAAGAGCATGGACAGTGCAGGCTTCGCTTGGAACTATCGAGGGGTACATGAATCACGTGACCGCTCCGGCGGCGAGATCTAAAGTTGTCGCCACTCTGTTTAATCGACCACTCTGGGCCTGAGGTCTCGCTACAAACAAGCGGCTGCTGGAAGAGAGTAGGTGAGTTGTGTTTAGTCTCTCTGCTAAAGCTAAAAAGATGTTTGATGACTAGTGCTATGGCTGGGACCCTATACTGTTGATGAAGTTAGGTTTGTTTATGGCTCCTTAGACCGCTGTGTATTGCTATTGTGCGGTTGTTATAACTGGAGAAGCAAGCAGTCGGCAACATTAATCTCTCAAGGGGGTGTCTGACTCGGTGTTACGGTGTGTTTGACCCTCAATTATTTTTGCGCTGGAATATCCCTTTAAGCACAAGTTAGTACAAGGTTACACACAACACTAGCAAATATGATGCTGTAAAGAGTGCATCACCTGATTCATCCTCAGGAAACCTCCAATGTCTGCAACACATTGATTGTTTCCCTGTCTTATTGCTATTCAGAGATTTCACTTAAAACTTTAATATTAACCTCATAGCAGTGCATTTGAAACAGTCAGTTGATGACTGGGCACTTTAGGGTGCAGCTAATATCAGAGTTATGACTTGAATCACATTTGACGTATTTCACACAGAGGAAACATGCTTTGTACTGAGACATGCAGTGATCACGGTTAAAAGATGGAGCATTCATTTCACTAAAGCAGGTTGCTACACATTGTTTAACATTCACAGGAAGTGCAAATTAGTTTTTTTTAACAAGCCATAGATGTTTGTTTGGAAGACTAAACACCTGGCATAATGCGAGGACTTGTATTCTGGTTTGTGTGACTACTTCGCCTGCTGGTTTTTGAACACGGTGTGGTCTTTAAGTGCTTCCTGAACACTATGTGAGCCATGCAGGCGCTGAAAATATGAGTGTGTGTGTCTGTGTGTGTGCATTAAGGCAGGGTCATTGAGGAGTAATAGGATTGCTCGGCCCCGCTCCCTCTCTCGACACCCCAGCAGAGACAGGCCTCCTAAATCATCCTCACATCTCTGAGCAAGATGGAGGACCTGGCACGTCTCCTCCCGCCCTCCGTCCCTGCAGCAGCCATAAGCGCTCTCCCCACTGCGATACAGCCACTGTGATACAGCTACAGCTCGCAGCCGCGATCCCCCTCAAACCTCAGGGAGGAGTGGAATAATATCTACTCAGCATTCTGTAAATATCCGCTGGGAGGTGTACTCCAGTTCATTGCAGCGGCGCCACAGTTACTGAATGTGTGCTCGGCTGCTGATCCTCAAACGCTGCTCTTTGTTCTTGAACTTTTCATCCTGACTCCCAAAAAAGAAGCCATGAGGTGAGCAGCCTCTGCTCCAGCTATTCATTATTCATGTCCTGTCTTAGATAATTTAGGGTCAGGAAGAGGCTAAAGACACTCTACATAAAAGGCAACATGACACCTTTCCCAGGTAAATTTTTAACACTTCAAGAAACAGGAGATTGGTGTTTGAAGTTTTTCAGCTCCCTCTTTGTCCAGGACATGACTGCAATAGAAAGTTTGCTGCTTTCTCCGTGGTGCGGACCAATACTGGTTGCAATACAGAGATGGATGTCCTCTTTTTTTTTGTTATTTCAGTTTCAGGGAAAAGAAATACTGGTGGCATGACATGAAACCACACTGTGTTTGTAGGTTTTTTTCCGTCTGTTTGTGCAGAGTCCCAAACAGGAGCTTGAGTGGAACGTCATAGTCACAGCTCAGGGCACCTATCCCAGACCATGAAAATAATGGTCAGGTTTATATGTTTTTGTTTTTTTGTTGTTTTTTTTTTTAAACTCAGACAAATAAAAAAGGTCCCTAGACACCAAAGTTTACCAAGTACAGATGGTACAACTTCAACAGAGTGGCTTAAAAAGGAGCCAGAATATTGTAGTCCATATGGGGGTCAAAGTGAAACTGGTATTTACAGGCCTACACATATGTCAGCCTAAAACACCTAAATGCACTGATAGGGGCTTCAATCAAATAAGCATGTGTTTAATTTCTATCACAGCCCATCCCTCAGATTACAATACAACATCATTTATATATATCACATTACACAACTCCATATGAGCTCCGGACGCTCTTGGGAACAATGTTGATTTTTATGGAATATTATTATGGAAAATAGTGCAAAGACAATAAATCAACGTTGAAACTCAAAAAAAAAGCAACACAGTTTGAAACAGAGTGACATAGTGTGTGAGATCGTCTCTGTATTTATCATTCACCACTTAAAGGTAGGGTAGGCAGGATCTGAGGAAGTGCCTCAGATTAAAGTAAGTTAAAGCAAACACATAGTCTTTAGTTTCAGTTACTTTTGTTAGTTTTCAGGATTTAATACTGCAATTGTTTCTTTATCCATACTTACTTTTCTTTGTTCTTTGGTCACCTCACCATAGCTGCGTCCGAATTGCCAAGTAGTAGTCGAAGTAGTAGTCGAAGTAGTATCTAGCATGTCCGAATTGGCCACCGGAGCGAGTAGCATGCTACTTCAGATACTACTTCAGATGCTAGACACGCCCACATTGTAGGTTGGTCTCGGTGCATCCTACGGGCATGCTACTGACCCAAAATGCACCGCGGGCTTCTTCTTCGTCCTCTTAAAAGTTGTAGAAGCGCATGTGATGCTAGCGCCACCAGCTGCTCTGCCTATTTAAATGTGTCGCGAACGCCGGCTGGCCACAACAGCGCGCACCATGTCGCGGGACCGCAGCAGTACAGATGTAAGTTTCATGTAACTTCACACACTGTCCTAAAAAATGTGCGGTTGTATCTCTTTGTCATGTCATGGTGTCATATTTGCCCAAGTAATCATTTTATGAGCAAATATGTGGCGACATCATGGAGGTAAAGCTCACTTATTCCATCATTAAACTGCACAGCTGCAGTACTACAGCCAGGCCCGCAGATGAGGGGCTTCAGTTACCACTGTCTGCACGGGCGCAGTACCTACTCTCTGCCTGCGGGGGTCGTGTTTCCCCACCGCTCGTCTAGTGTGTCCGAATTGGGCAAACGTGTTTAGTATGTAGGAGTAGGATCTAGCAGTAGCACGTAGCAGTAGCATGTAGTATCCGAGCGGGCAGTTCGGACGCAGCACATGTGGTCCTCAAGGTGGAAAGGGATTGGCCTGTACTTCCTTGGTTTATAGGGAATTGATGATGTCGGAGCTGACATCACTGGAAGAGACCAACTGTGGGGTTTTTCCTTCTGTGATTTGTTTTTATTTGTTCAAGCTTAGCATTTTCAGGGGAGTCTAAGTAGGTGATTTATTTGGTTTGAGTAAAGTTTAGTTAAGTTAGGTACAGGTAATGAAGGTTGGAGTTTTATTTGATTTCTTTGAAACAAGAGAGATCTTGAGCTCCCTTCTAGGTACTTGGTACACTCTCTGATAGGTGGGTTGGAGATTGAGCTGCCTATAAAAGCAGAGGAGAATTGCTCCCAATGAAGGAAGAGGAGTCCTTCTGAATATCATTTGAGACTCATTTTGTTCGATCTTGGGAAGAGTTTTTAGTTTTTAATGGAACCTCTATACAGTGGACCTGTAAGCATTTATTGGGGAGTGTAAGCTGATTGCCTATTGTATATTGACTCATCCCAGTCTTGATCAGATGTACCATCTTGTCCCTGGTGTCCTTAGACAGCTCTTTAGTCTTGGCCATGGCAGAGAGGTTGCAGTCTGACTGTTTGAGGATGTGGACAGGTGTCTTTTATAAAGATAATGAGTTCAAACAGGTGCCATTAATTCAGGTAACGAGTGGAGGATAAAAGAGCTTTTTAATGAGTAAGTAACAGGTCTGTGAGGCCCAGAATTCTTGATTGTTTGTAGGTGCTGAATACTTCTTTTCTGCACCATTATACAAATAAGTTCTTTAAAAATCATACACTGTGATTTCCTGGATTTTTTTTATTTATTTATTTATTTATTTTTTTACATTGTGTCTCTCACAGTTGAAGTGTACCCATAATGAACATTACAGACTTCCCTCATCTTTGTTAGCGGGACAATTTACAAAACTGGTGGCTGCCAAATAATTTTTTTGCCCCACTGTATGCGGACCTGACTGTAAAAAAAAAAATTCACTTCTTGGAAATCAGCAAGTTATCTCAAACCAGTTACCTAGGAAGTCGCAGTTGGGAATGACGCTACACCAGAGTTGACAGCGTTCTAGTAAACAAGCCGGAAAACCAAGATGGACGCCTACTGTTAGCCGTTGTTAGCTGTTGTTTAAAATTGTCAGCTGTCGTTGGCCGTTGTCAGTTGTTAGCGGTTAACAGCTGTTGTTAGCCATTGTCAGCTGTTGTTTACTGTTGTTAGCTATACCAGTTGTAAACAATGCATAACACAGTATTTTAGTCTTACAAACACCATAGCATCATGTTCACAGTTTGACGTCGGGCAGTACAACATACACCACTTGTTTTCTTAATTTCTTAATTTCACAAAAACAAAACAGAAGTGCTAATAAAAAATACATTATGAGAGCTTTTACTGTTGCTCTTTACTGTTGATGCAGTGCGCTGCCATCTTGGATTATGACGTTGGCGTCAAGTCGGGGTTGGTGAGGATCTTCCGACTTTCCAAGTGGAAAATCTGACTTCAAGGGGGCGTTCCAGATAAATTTCTGATTCAGAGCTCGGAAATCCCGACTTCCGAATAAAACTGTAATGAATTATGATAGTTGCCTTCCTCCCACCTTCCTAGACCCCTGAGCCAAAACTATCTAAACAGTTGTCTTAAAGGGGGCATTTTTACTTGTTTGATGTACAGAATAATTCAGTTTTACTTATTTGGGGAAGGACAAAACCAGCAGCGATGTTTTTATTTTCACTCATGTTGACTCTTTGTTTCACATAAGAAGGATTGATTTGAGCTGTGGATAATCATAATGGCTTTTATTTCTTTGAAAAGTCTGTGCAGGGGTATCAAGTGCAGGAAATATAACAGCATCCTTGATAAATCAGAGAGCTGAAAGGCGCTGATGCCAAGATTAAGTCGACTGCTTTAAGATTGTGTCAAATCATCTGTTGTCGTCTCAGCGTGATTCAAAGCTTCTTTAAACTATCAATTAGACAGATTTAGCAGCTCGTAGTGTGACAATAATTAGTTCAACGGCATCAAATGTATCTTATCTGTGGCAGAACAATCAAGTGTATGAATCTAAGCTGTTTGTCATCGTCCATTCAAGCTTCACACTCTTATTAACAGACACTTTTTTATTCTGCTTCTAGGATTTGATGGAGTTTTTAATCTGCTGTAATTATACTGTATTATATCATCATGATGTTACTTCCCCTCTCTGTCACCATCAGTCTTCACTTCTTGATTTGCAACAGCAGTCTCATGCTGCTATCTCTGTAACCATGGCAACCAGGAGTGGGGTGAGGCTGTCTCTCTCATTTCTGCCGGGTTTATCTCACCGACAAACTTGCTGCTGCACGACTCTGATTTGTTTGAATAATCCAAGGAGAGATAGGACAGCTTTTACAGTGTTTTGCTCTGGTAAACAAAAAATTTTTACACATCAAGCTTCTGACTTTCTGTGTGCTCTTATCAGATGATGTTTTGTCCCAGGTTTTTATGTTGAAAGACACGGAGAAAGGGGGAAATGGTGAAGTTGTGGAGGCTATAAAAAGATCCCACAGTGCGATCAATAAGTCAGATCAGGAGGGAGAGAGAGTGAAGACAACTGTGAGAGGTCTGAGGCAAATGTTTAAAAAAGGCTGAGGGTGGAGGTTTCTGGAGGCAAAGCAGAGTCGAGCATGCAGAACGGTGTCTTCAGCGTGGAGAGATTAAAGCTGCTTGTTCTTTATTTATCAGGGGGAGCAAACAGTGCTGTGAGCTGCCACTACTGTCAATCTATCAACACCCTCGTCAGCTCTTTCCTCTGGCGCTGGAGCTCAAACAGCAGAGTCACACCACAGCAAACAGGAAATCAAACCATTAACAGAATTAAGTGAGAGCAATTGAATTTCCCCTGAAACAAAACAGAGGATAGATGGGAATAATGATTTGTGATGGTAATAAAGCATTCAGACTGAACTAAGAGGAAAAAGATGGAAAAAAGACAAACTATCTGGCAGATTTGAATCCGTCGTGACAAAACTCAGCAAATACCCCTTAGCTTGATGAAGTTCATGGCACTTATTTAAAAAAAATCTACATAAAACCTTTTAAATAAACAAAGAGGGCATTCATAATATTAAGCAATCAATCCATTTTTAATAAATCACAAATTCACATTATGTGTTACCCCTGGATGCTTGGCAAAAAAACAGGTCTAGACTCTATTTACAAAGACTCAATGTCAAGATGGGATAAGACTGAACCCCCAACTTGCAAGATCTTCTCATATCCCAACTAGCAGGCAGTAGCTCAGGAGGTAGAGCAGTCACCCAATAACTGACAACTTGGCGATTTGATCCCTACCCTATTCCTAGACTATCCGTTGTGTCCTTAGGTAAGACATTGAACCCACCTTGCTCCCAGTGTGTGTCCTCCACTGGTGTTTGATTGTGAGTGTTGTATGGTGTTGGTCAGAGATGCCGTAGACGCAAACTGGTAGCCATGTTTCCGTCAGTCTGCCCCAGGTCAGCTGCGACTACTAAGCTAGTTTATTACCACCAAGGTGTCATGATGTGAGCGAGTGAATGATGTATCCAATATAAAATGCTTTGAGGTCGCTGATGAAAAGTGCTATAAAATCGGATGCATTATTATCTTCAACCACATGACCGATGGACTTTTGCAGCATTTAACACGTTACATTGGAGAGGAAGAACTTCCCTTAATGGGTAGAAACCTTGAGCAGAACCAGACTCATGTTGGACAGTCATCTGCTGAGACTAAGCTGGGATTAGAAAGGAGAGAGGGAGGGAGAGATGGACAGAGGAGAGATTGATGCTTGTAGTTAAAGCAGCTGTAGAGATCCCATGCAGCAAGACATCTGCAGCAGAGATCAGTGATAAAAAAATTTTCGAACCTGTATCCTGTCAATACAAGCGTTCACACCAGCAACGTTTTCCCATCCTGCGATATTGTGACATTTATTTTTTTGAATCATGGTCGATTTTTTTAAGGTTTCGCATACTGTGTGTCCACTTCTGACCAATCAGATTGTGTGTTGTTGCAACGTCAGATTCACCGGTATAAACGTGGCCAACCGGCTGGTTGTTTATGTGTCGGGGAACAGAGTACTTTTTGATAAAAGACACAAACATTACAAAGATAACGACCTGAAGGACAACTTGTGGTTTGTGTGCTTTAACAGTTTGCTAAACGACTTTGTTTTAACTTTCATCTGTGCTAAGTAACTTCAGTTCGTAAGCTAACCTGTTTAGATACAACATACCTTATGTATTTTTACTGTCCCAAACTGAATCACAGCGTTGCTGTCACGGCACCATTAGGTCCCGGTCGCAAAGTCGCATTGGGCTTGATGTGTGTAGTTAGGGGCGTCAAAATTCTCCTCCGAATATTTCTTGATTTCGCGTTCTATATTCGCGTCGGCCCCGGTGTGTAAGGACCTTAATGTTCACACTCAAAGCATGACTGTATAATATTAGTAACACAGGTTAGAACAGGGGTGGGCAATCATGTGCCATGGAGGGCCGAGAGGCTGCAGGTTTTCTTTCCAACCCAAAACTCCACCAGGTGATTTCATTGATTACCTTACCTCCAAGCAGAGAGCAGGGACTAATCAGTGAAATCACCTAGTGGAGTTTTGGGTTGGAAAGAAAACCTGCAGACTCTCGGCCCTCCATGGCACATGATTGCCCACCCCTGGGTTAGAAGGAGCATTCCTGCACTTTCCTATCTCTTCATCTGTTGCTATGCTGTGTGCCTCTATTCCCTAATTAAATAAATTAAAAGGAAAAAAAAAATAGGAAAAGAATTAGTTGACCTAGACATTTTTCAGGACTAAACAAAGACAGTGGTGTGAATGGTGAACATACAAACCACTAAAATTCTATTGAAATCTCAAATGTTCACAAATGCTCTGGTGAATAGTGTTGAGATGAAATAGTTGGTCTGTCAGGGCAGATGAGCTTAAGAGTCTGTTTACAGTCTGCAGTATGAAGCCAAAACCAGCTAACTGTTGGGTGTCTGTCAAAAGCCTTAAAGAGGTCCTGCTGGTTGTTGGCTCTACTACTCTGCTCTGAGATCTATAACAGGAGATCCTGTGACACTCATCATTGTTTCTTGCATGATAATGCGTCTCTAGCACTAGTTTCTTTTTACCCATAGATCCCATAGTGGATGTTCCTGTCCAAATATAACATCAGTGCTGAACTACACTCTGTCACTCTCAGTCTACAGATTATCTACAGTTTCACAGGTTTTCTCTGAACTTGGTGAGTCTGCCTTTAGATTTTTGGGCTCCAAATATGAGAAATTATTTATGACAGACTGTGGAGGTGGACTCTGGAGTGGGAAACAGCTTTTCTTGTTCAGTTTGGCTCAAATGAGAAAAATATTTTTTGAGAACAGTGAGCTCAGGTAGAGAAACAGTTACTTTGACGTTCACAACAGATTACAAACCTTACTGTGTTGGTATACTTGTGCAAAAGAATAAATACAATACGACTCTGCAGCACATGATCATTTTTTCAGTTATTGAGCACCACAGGGCTAAATTATCCATTTTATCGTCAAAATCTGCAAGATATAGATATGTCCCTGATGTCCCCTCGAAATGTTGGCTGAAGTCCTGCCAGGTGAGGGTGTTTCATGAACTCAAAATCAAGTTTGAAAGAACTGAGATTTCTATCCAGCGTTTTTCAAGTGGAGAAAGTAAATGATCATCAGCCACTTAATCAGATGATTCAGGTGAATGCCATCTGTAGTGGCAGATTCCTCCCAAACAGTTTCAAAAGCCACTTAAAAGAGACAAGCCTTACTGATGTCATGTCCACTTTGATTCATAAAAATGATTCCAATACTCACAGGTCTGAAGTTGATTTTCTGTTTATATTGACAGATGTAGATTCCTTTGAGCTCACCATCCAAAAACAAAACAAATATCAAAAAAAGGGGCGCAACTTAGCTCACATTTCACAGTCAAAAAACATTTGGCATAATGCTCGTCCCAACCTGGACCAAACGAAAGACCAACCTGCGCACCTGTGCTGGCTGATCTAAGAGATAAAGACTCCTTCCATAACCAAACTCTTTCCAGACAGACATAGATGAATCTATAAATCAACATAAACAACCCATTGAACTATTTTTAAATCTTCTGATCTTTATGATTACTTATCTAAACTAAGACTTTTAATTTGTTAATATCTTCAAATTTGCATTCATCAACGCTGCATGTGAGGGCATCACAGGTGGTCATGTGCCCTACACGAGAAGACTTCATCAGATCTGATGTAGACAAAAATCTTTGGCCAGATCAAGAAGAAGAAGAAAAAGTATGTCATGATTTTAGGTGGAGGAAACAGATTATTGAGGCTTAAAGGATGATGATGATGCAGAGTCACTCAGCTGCCATCTCTCTTTGACATCCACTCAGCTCAGGAGTGGCTCAAATGCTGTCTTAATGCTGTAATGATGTAGAAACATAAATAAAAGTTTGGGAAACAGACAATTCTGGATGATTAGTGCACACTTGTCTGCAGGTCTGGGCGATATGTAAAAAGTTTATTACATTGTGTTTTTTTTCATATTAGTCAATATCGATAAATATCACAACATAAAAAAATCACTTGTTGATCTTAAATGTTCCCTGTTACTCTTAAATGAAATTAACCAGTGCTTATTAGTAGCATGTCTTTTTGTAATAGAATAAGCTACTGCATCTGTGAGGTCTTTGTGTCTCTTCGACATTTTGTGTTAAGCTAGAGAAAGTGGACTGAATGGTCGGTTGTTTCGACTGCACAGGCATTGTGGGCTGCTTCTCACTTGCTTGTTGTGTGTAGCTGCAGCCTGTTACTACACAATTGTCTGCTACTTGGTTCTAATTCAGCACATGATTGGTTCAGCGCTAAGTGGAGCCTGAGCAATTCCCCTTTTTATTGGCTTTTAGTATAATCTACCAAAACATGGCAGAATGCTAACTATTGATAAGCATATTGACCATGTTTTAAATCGATATCAAGGGAAATTAATTTTTGATATAAATCATTATCATTTTATCACCCAGCGGTACTTGTCATTGAGCAGGTCCTGAATCACACATAAATGCTTAAATGTGATAAAAAATCAAGCATGCTGCCGAAGTTTGAGTTATTTTTCTGATTTTAATATTTTTTTTATTATTAATTCGTATAACAAAAAACCAAAACACTCAAAATGTCTGTGATGATTTTTTTATTATGAGAGAAATATGACTTTACATCACCACAGGGGTGAGAATAAAACATAAATAAAACATTCTTACAAAATGTTGCAATAAATCACCAACAAAACATATTTTTTTACATTTGATTTGTTTTTACATTATTCATATTTACATATTTGTCTTTGCCCTTTTTTTTTTTTTACATTGTTGGGAATGAAAGAGTTCTGCACTACGTTTGTTAGCGCAGATGTTTCCTTCGTGTCAAAGCAGAGGTATAAAAGCTCTCCTCTTTCTCTCTCTCCTGAGAAGATGTGGGGTTCTACTCGAGTGCATTTTATCGTTAAGATTTAAGGCTACAGGGTTCACCTGATGGACACGCTCGTCTCGCGGACAGGTCTATCATCAGCTGGGAGGGAGTTCATTTTCCTCAATGTTGTCTGCTGATTGTCCCTTACAGAGTGTGAGAGAGAGAGCTCTGTGCTTCCGCTCGCTCACTCCCTCTCTCCCAGTCTTAGACCTTTGATTCTTTTTTTCTTATTAAAGCTGCTGCTGACTAGTTTCACTGAATAACCAATTACAATTTCTGATGACTTATTTGTCTCTGCAGTCAATTACAACGGCTACAATGAAAATGTCAGAATGTGAGAGCCCACGCTCATCACATTATCTCTGACCTGCTGGGAAAATATGTCCTCCTCTCACAGCGGGAGAAACATAAAAAAAAGAAAATTAAAACAGACTTTGAATATTTCTCTGGTGTTTCTTTTGTTCTTTGAAGGAAGAGGGGACTAATTTAGTCGTAGGTGCAGCGCTCCCTAGTGGTCCAACACGCCCTAAGCGACAGAGGAAAACAAAAACAGTCCATTCCTCCGCATTTCTTTGACAGGATTACACCAAAGCCATAAACAAAAGTCATGAAGCAACTAATTGGTTGGCCCTGTAAGCCTCTTAGAAGACACACTATAATAAACCAGCGCGGACATGAAGTCAAATCCTCAACACAGACAGCAAGTTAACAAACAAGCACTTAGAGAGACCAGACAAAAGAGGCAGAAGGAAAGCAGCTCAGTGACAATGGTTTGCTGAAACACCCTACTGAACGTGTTCTGATTTTACTCTCTACCTGTCCAGCAGGTAGACGGTGAGCGGCTCACAGTCTGAGCTGAATGGAGCTAAAACATGAGTATAAAGACAGGTCACCTTGTTAACATCACATAAAAGCTTTTTTTTTTTCCATTTTAAACACGAACAAAATGGAGCCGCGGCTTTTGTTATTTATTTGAACACATTATCTCGCTTTGGATCATTGTTGCTTTTCATGAGCATCAGTGCCCCCCTCATTGAAAAGTCCACAGAATACAAAGATCTGCTTGATTGATATCTCACTCTGATGAGAAAATGCAGGACCAAAGTGCTTAACAACACCGATGAGTGTTGATTGATTTGAAACAATTAGAGAGTCAGGCGATACCTGCAGAGCAGGTTCAGCCACTCAGCGCCCAAACAGGGGCACACTACATTATCTGGTGTTTTTCAATTCACCTCGCTCCTTTTTTTTTCTTTTTTTTCTCCTACTGGCTGCTTCATCCCTCAAATGAACAGCCTCTATTTCCTCCAACCATCAGCCGTGTGCATCTTTTACAGACAGAATCCATTAGTATGCTACCTGCAGAGCTACATGCAATTAAAAAGCAGGGGAAGCCTCGCTGGTGGGAGCAGGGATGAAAGATGAGGGCTGCGTAAAAGCCCATTGACAGGCAGATAAAACAGGGATCAAGTTAATATCCATCCAAGGCTCCAAAACACACTAAAAGATATGAATTGAGCCGTTAAACATGGAGAGATACAGTACGTCTCCTCTTTCATTATATCTGAGAGGGGAAATAGTCGAGACCATCTTAAGAGTTTCACTTCAAAACACAGATTTTCATACTTTAAATAAATTAAAGCCACGACTGATGACATAGAGTCCTCATTGAGGGTTATTGGCGGTATCAAGAACCAGATCCTTTTGCTTTCATTCTGTAAATTAGTGGATGTAATCACATCTTCTTTTCAGACCGTCAGTAAAGGAAAATTGTACTGCAATTTTCTTTCAAAGTGGATCTATAAAGTAGCATTTTTACCAAAAGAAATACTGGAGCAAACACTGAAAACATTGGACTTGTCTGATCCGCACGTTGCTAGGACACTTAGTGGAGGCTGATTTTTCTCTGTGGTTTCAGTCCTCTATTGATTGTCAATGAAGATGATTAGGAGTGAAGCGTTTCCAGAGCCACATGGAGCTTGTTGACATTCATATCTGTTGCCAAGTGGTATTTGGATTTGTTTATGTCCTTGTACGTGGGGGTTCAGTCACATGGAAAAGGCTTCTGTAAATGAACAGAGGAGCCTGTTTGTGTGGGAGTCGATGCCAGGACGGACTGTTGAAAAGGCTCCGAACAAACACAGAGACAGACAGGCAGTGGAGTCTGTGACATACTTGGCAGAGCCTGTGAGGCAATCTACTGTGAAATGCTTTTGATTTGATCCTCTATCACAAATTCATGATTTACAAAATGAAGAAATTAATCCTCTGTCTCGTAGCCGTGGTGGAAACAGGATTTCTGCAGAGAAAATAGCAAATTTGTGCAGCTATTTCCATGTTTCTTTGACTGTACTTACAGTCTCTCCAATGTTTCACCTCCAAAAAGGTACGAGCAGAGGTTAGTGATTGAAAATGACATGATTGATTTCATGAAATGTTTAAATGTTCGATGTCATGGTAAGGAAAATTAAGCTGGAAGGTGAAGGTGTCTAGAGAGTGTCGGAGTACACGGCAGTATTACAGGTTCCTTTAGGTGTCAGGATGGCTGCGATGGACCAGGAGGAGGCAGAGAGGGCCATCTCTTAGCAGAAGAAGATCTCTCCATCCAGAGGAGGCTCAGGGAGGTGCTGGGGGTCTGCAGGGAGCAGAAGAGAGGAGTCAGTGACACTGTTACAGAGAGGATAGCTCCTATGAAAGGATTGCTCTCCCAATCATTTGAAACCAATCTCACATTTTCGCTTCCTTTTCATTACTTGCTTCCTTTTATGTGGTTTTGATTTTCATTCACTGTATTTTTCATCTGAAGGTGAAATTCCCTTGAACCTGCATGCTCTCATTTATTCAACTTCTCTTTTCTTCTGTAGTAGGCATGCATACGTGACAAGCAGTGTGATTCTCATGACTCATCACTGTACTTGGTCTTAGGAACTGAATTTATGCTCAAACTTGAGTATTTGAGTATTTGACTGCATTGTCTCCGAACAGTGAGAGGGCTGCGACTCTGTCTTTGTTTTTGTTCGATTTATTTTCTTTGCATAAGGCCCTAATATCTTATTCAGCGATGGTTGACATGTGTTTGCCAGTATTCACGCCCACTCGCCTTCTTGTTCAGCTACAGTTCCTGCCAGAGCGCAGAGAGAGAGATGTTCTCAGTCGGAGTTTTGCTTTCAAAAGTTTAACAGCCGATGCAACATATGCTCAGACTCAAACATCTGTTCAAGACGAACCCAGAAAAGTCCGAGAAACACTAAAGTTAGTTTTTACTGGACTGTTGATTATTAGAGGTGGGTGCAATTCATTGATGTGTAGATGCATCGCGATGCTTCACATGATGATTCCGCATCGATTAATTAATGTTGATGCCGAGGAAAAAAAAAAAATATATATATATATATATATATATGTGTGTGTTAGTTAACGCAGAGGCTTAAAATACATAAATAAATAATGACGTTGATGCCCTGCCACAAGGCCGGAACAAAAAAAAAAAAAAGAAACTGGAACCTTAACGCCAGTGCTGCCCACACTGTTTAGCGAGTGGGACCACAACAAACAGAGCACGTTAGGTACTTTGCTTCAACAGCTTCAACAGCCTCCAGAGAGTGGTCGATTCTCTCGCCACCAGTGTTGACTGCAACCGTGTGGAAGTATTTTGGATTTTTTGAGAGAGCAAACAAGATGGCTGACAAGACCTATGCGATTTGCAAGATTGGCAAAGCAAAAATAAAATACTTCAGCAACACCACAAACACGAGGACCATCCTGGAGACTGTCTCCAAACTTCCCAGTTTAAGTTAAGAAGGTCAAAGTGCAAATGTTTACTTAACAGTCATAAATTAAAATATTTTTTGTCTTTGAAAAATACAAATAAATGTTCAAAAATCCTTATTTACTTATAGAGCGTAATTTTAGAGGAACTGAGTTAATTGATAGGCTATTTATTTACAAATGTAGCCACAGATGAAGACAAAATCAATCTTATATGGAAAAAAAAGCATTAAAAGCGGCAGTAATTGAAGAATCGTGGCACCAATGATCAAATCAAATCAACAATTATTATTAATGGAAGAATCAAAGCTTCCATAATCGAAAATCTAATTGAATCATGAGGTACACTTGTTGGAACACCCCTATTGATTACACTGGGTCCAAGATGTTTCATTGTTTGTAATATTGTTTAATAGCAGGTGGGCTGCAGGTTTTGATTTCTTAATGCAGTGATCCTGCAGTCATTCAACTGCAGCAGTATTGCTGAGCATGTCTCCCCGTGAAGAAAACCTCTATGTGCATTTAGGCAAAATACAAAGTGCTACAACATCACTGATAATACAAATCTCCAAAAACACAGACAGCATCAGTCAGAATCTGAATCTAATAAATCAAATGTGTTTTCTGCTCATCCATAAAGGTCCCACACAGTCTGTCCAGGTTCAAACAGTGAGTAATTTGAAGTCAAACCCTAAACTTTGTAATAAATAATATAAAGAATGAAGACTAAACTCAGACCAAGTAAAGTGGACTGGACTTGCGTTCCTCTCTGATGACTCAGATTAGACTTGGACTTGTACACTGAGGTCTTGAGAGTTAACTTGGACCCAAAATTTGGTGACTCAACAACAACACTGGTAGCGAC